GATATACCTTCAGCATCCTTCTCATTCTTCTTCTGGAGTCCTGACAGCTTCGATCGAACCACGGAGGTACGTGCTGCTTAGTCTCATGATGCTCGCGAAGGAGAGTTGGGTGACTCGTAGTGTCTCCTCCCAAAGTGCACAAAGAGTTACAGTATAAAGATAGCGCCAGCTCCATCTGCTGGGATGAGATAGCTCCTTCTATCATTTCCCTGAGTTGATCAGCTTGAGGTTCCCCTTGTTTCAGTGCGTATTTTCCTGCATCATCCGGGCGCCACCTATATCTGGATAGAAGTTGTGTTTGGGTCGTTGCTCTCTCCGCTGTTCTCTCTGTCCTTGCAGCTCGCTCCCCTTCAAGTCTGAGCTGAGCTGTCACTGGGTGATGATCTGAGTCACCTTCCTCATTTACGTTCAGTCACTTCATAAAGTCCTTCTGAGACGATGATGTAGTCCACCACACTCTGCCCAGAGGGTGATAGGTATGTGAACTCTCCTGATGAGGTACTTTCCGTACGTCCGTTAAGTATTGTCAACGACGCCAGATAACAGAGTGTAACTGCCTCCCTCCATCGTCAATGGTTCTATCTCTACTAGATCTCTGCAAAGATGCATGGGGATTTTCATACCTGGGCAGCCCATCATACTTGCGATGAATGGTTCCCAGTGCCAACTCAACTTCATTTCCTGTTCGCGAGTTAAAGTCGCCTCGGAGAATCCACTCTGCTCCCGGGTTGTCTGTTCCAATCCTCATTATTTCATCCTCTAAATTCTCGTAGAAGTTGGCGTCGGCGTAAGGGGAGCTTGGGGGATGTCGGTATTAGTTGTAGTGGTTTTGATAGTATAGTTGAGAAGAATATAGGTAAGACTACGTATCTCAAAGAAAGTATACCCAAAGATATTGGACTTGAAAGTAAAGAAACCTCTAGAAGTGTTTATTCCGTTATGAGCCCGGGTGTCTTCCAAATTTGTTTTCTTCTTTTGGCATTTCTCAAAGCACATATACCCTGGTATGGAAAAAAGTGACTCTCGAGAAGCCCATGTTTCGACGCAGCCAAAGACGTGAAAGTTCTTCGCAAAATTGGTGAAAAGTTGATCAAATTTGTCCATTAGGCCGTTTGCATTCCATACACCTACTTGTAACAAGTATGGGCCTCCCTCTTTTTCCTATTCATCATCTACCTTTTCCTCATCCATTGTAGGAGGAGGACTATATGTTTCTGAGGTATCACTGTCCTCCCCCGACTCTCTCATGGCTTCACCGATTATTATTGTCCCCTCCTTAGGGACTCTCCTGACTACGTCCTTCGCGCGTTGAGCGTTTTCTTTCCTTTGAGTCGGACGAAAATACTTGTCCAGTTCTCCCTTTCTTCTGTCTTCCCGTCCCTTCTGTGCCGTACTGTGCGTTGATCTCAGTGCTCTTGTCTCAGCTGCTGCCTCTGCGTACGCTGTATCCTCATGCCTTCTCCTCAGTACCTTTCCTTCCTGGGGCGTTTCTCCCCGTCCCTCATGGAGGCTGCCGTTGATGTAAAGCCTGTCTTGGATAAGTTTGACATCTTTCCCTTGCTTACGGGCTTCTATCATAATGGGAATGAGTTTCTTCCGAGTTTTAGGGAAATCCTCAGTTATCCAAACATCCGAGCTTGACTTGTCCGAATTCTCCCTCTTGGCTTTGAGTATTTGTATTTTTACTTGCCAGTCTTTCACAGTGACCGAGATTGGTCTATGCTTGGCCTCTGCTTTCTGATCTCCTTTGGGTCCAATGCGGTAGACTGCTGTGACGTCGGGAGAGGGGTTAAGTCGCAGCTTGTTGACCCATAGGTCATCTAACTTTCGTCGAATCTCAGTCTCTGTTTCTCCGGGATATTCTTTAAGCCCGTGAACTATGATGTTATTTCTTCGGGATATCATCTCCAAGCGGTCCAACCAAGTCCGTAACCTGGAGGCTCGCTCCAGGTTACGGACTTCCGTTCTGCACGACTTCTTTGTAGACCTGTCTCCCTCTTCATGGCACCCGCTTCTTTTTTCATTTCCTTCAATTCCTTTTCCATTTCGTCTTGTTTCTTTTCTACTCCCACTATCCTATTTTTTAAACGGTCTGCAATCTTGCTGAATTCCTCTTTCATCTGTTCCGTCGATTCCTTCATCTCAGTTCGTATGGCCTTTACTTCCTTCAGGAGGTCACTCAAAATGTCTTCCTGTTTCTTCGCTTTAGCCATTCTCACTACTTCCACGAGCAAGTTGAGGGCTTGGTAGAAGATAGTCGACACTGTTGTGTTGGCCTCCGTTAACACCTACTGCAAAGCCCTGCAGGTGAGATTATAGGTCCTCTNGGTCACTCAAAATGTCTTCCTGTTTCTTCGCTTTAGCCATTCTCACTACTTCCACGAGCAAGTTGAGGGCTTGGTAGAAGATAGTCGACACTGTTGTGTTGGCCTCCGTTAACACCTACTGCAAAGCCCTGCAGGTGAGATTATAGGTCCTCTACCAAAGGGCACACAAAGGGCACACGACAAGTTAACTTCAGAGAGAGTTGGATAGATGTCGCCACTGCAGGGGGTCGAGCCAGGGTCATGCGGCCCAGACATCAGCTGATCTCCAACTTCCCCCAGACACCAGTTCCCAGCACGACAACCCTCACCGCTGGCTGGGTGGCACCCTCCTCAGGACGTCCCTCCACCCTCCAACACAACACTTCCCTTGACCACACTAGGGCTGGTAGTAAGCTGAGACCAGAAACGTGTATTCCCTCCTAGACACATAATCCAGCACTCGTCACACAGTCGCCATCTTTCCCCACCTCCATTGACATTCAGGAATACCTTTTCCTTCTTCACTCTCGTGAATCAAATGTTAATTATCATATGTTGATGAAGTTGACTTGACTCGTGTTTGGTGCGGCACGTTACAGTAGAAGATATAATGTGTTTCGTGCGTTTCTGTACTGGGAGTAAATAATATTGAAAGGTATGGTTTTCTTCCAACTTTTACAGCTCCCTCCTTAACACGTTGACGACCAGCCTATTTTTGCTTGTCCGCCGCGTGGGACCACGCGCATTTTTTTTTGTCAAAAAATGCGTCCTGCCATCAGGACGCATGGTCCCAGAAAACATTTTTTTTGCCGAGTTTTTTTAAAATGTTGAATTTTTTGGAATTTTTATCAGTAATTACGAAATCATAATCTTCTGGAACGTTCTCAACAGTTCCAGAGGGTATTCATTGAAAA